TTCCCTTTCTGTCTCTCTGGTGAATGCATGTGCCCTACAGCAAATTAAAACATAATCATAATAAAAAAATTACTTGGAAAAAAGGAAATCTCAATGATCAACTGAATTCTAAAAGGGAGGGCCTCTTTTCAGTCATCCTAACAACCTCTTCAACATTAAAAATAGCAGAATTAGATAGCTGCATTCATCTCTCTAGGGTGAAGCTTGCACCCCTCTCTTTATAGGAAAACAAAAACAATAGCAAACTGCCCCCCAAAGAAACAACTTATGCTTGTGAGCCACTGGAGGATTTGAGACATGAAAAATAGACACCTAGCTGAGATAAAGGCTAAAAAAATTATAAATGATCATACCATAGGGAACCAACCCTTGGCACATGTACTGGATCCTACTGTGAGTCATCCAACACTAACAACCACCTTCCCAATGACATACTTCAGGATTATTTCAACCTGTCCCTGCTCTTCCATCTAGATCATATAGGGCAACAGTTTCATGATCCCTGATAGGTAAGGCCAACACCTCTTCCAGCATAAAACAATTATATGAACGCTGGATCACTAGGCTTCTAACTGCTCTCATGCAACACCCCTAAGACCACCTTCAGCGCCCCTAAAAGATTTATGAGGTTAAACTTCTTGGGGAAAATGAGGCAGGGAGAAAGCTGGAAAATAGAAGCAGGTAACAGGACTGGAGCATATGCCTATGTGGCTAATTAAAAAGAAAAATCGGGGTAGAATATTTCTGACTGAGATAATATAGGCAGGAGATTTTTAGTGGGAGATGTCTTGCTGATAGCCAGTGAGATAAATCAGTGGGTCCCATCACCCTTGATATAACTAATGAGACGAATCAGTGGGCCCAGCCACATTCGATACACAGTCCATGGGAAGAAAGCAATGACTGGGCCCAGCCAATGAGCAACCAGTTAAGGAATTATAAGCCTCTTGGAAAGCAATTACCAGAGTCCTGGATTCACTCTTTCTCTCTTGCGCTTGACTTGCGCCTACCTCTAAGGAATGCACTTTTACTTAAACTATCCTTTACTTTGCCTACTGATGTGTCTCATTCAATTCTTTGTGTGAAATGTTAAGAATCTGGACAGGGGGACCAGCAGTTGGCGTAATGGCTATGTCACTGGACTCCCAAGTAGTCGACCGTGGTTCAAGTCCCAGACCCAGTGGCTTAAACTCACACTGGGTGCGTGTGCGTGTGTGTCCAAGATCCCCAGAGGAGAATGGAGGAGAAGGGACTGTGGTGTGGCCATCCCCCATGGGGGGTGATTTCTCGCTTTCTGTCTCTGTCTGTCTTTCTGGCGAGTGCACGTGCCCTATAGCAAAAACCTCTCCAAAAAAAAAAAAAAAAAAAAAAAGATTCAGGATAGGCATTCTGCAACAGGCTATACTCTCCTGTCCCACACAAACTAATCTAGACCCTGTAGCATGAGTGCTGATGAAAACTTGCATTAGACTTCCTACTGGCCAGTTGAGGCAGACTATGTGCGAATGTCAATACTTCTTGATACACCTGGATTAATAACATTTTTAACTGGCATGGCACCAGATAGGGAGCCTGTCTGTGGTCTGTTCTCCAAGTGAGAATTATAGTCATGATCACTCATCCAATGTTCCCAAAGACAAAAGAGATTTGGTACAAGTCCCTATCAGTATGATTAATTAGGTATATGATGGAGTGGACTATTGGGAAAAAAAATTCTTAACTGGATACATGGCAGGTCAGGTTGGATTGGTGTAGCAATGGTTCTGCAATGGCACCTTGGCAGCATTTTATGTCTCTCCATAGGTCATGTAGGCAGAGCTTAACTGCAGCTAATCTAAATCTTGGCAGAACATCCTTGATTCTCCCAGAATAAGAGAACAGGGGACCCTTATGAGCAGATGCTACAAGGACATTTCCCACTAATTACACCACTTCCTGGGAGCTTGTCATGAGACAGTTTCTCAGTGTCTCCTCCATCTGAGGCTTTCTTTTTTGTTTTAAGAGAGAGTTTTGCTACAGAGCACATGTGCTCACCAGAAAGACACAGAGACAGAAAGTGAGAAATCATCCCCCAGCGGGGATGGCCACACTGCAGTCCCTTCTCCTCCATTCTTCTCTCGGGATCTTGGGCACACACACACACACACACACACATGCACCCAGTGTGAGTTTAAGCCACTGAACTGAGATTTGAACCGCAGTTGATTACATGGGAGTCCAGCATCGTAACCATTACGCCATCTGCTGGTCCCATATCTGAGGCTTTCTGCCTCATCTTTCCTCCCTCACATTCCCAGGTACAGATACCAGGTGTAAAAGTGCTCAGTTGCAGCATGGCATGGGCTTGTCAGCCACAGTATCTCATTCTCTGTGTTGTAGTCATCCCATGGGAGACATGGGGTGGAAGCCACTCTTTCACTGTCTATGTACGCAGCAAACTGTTGGAGTCAAACAAAAGCTCTGTTTATTTACTGGCTGAGTCTATCAGTCTTGTTAGGCAACCTTTAAATGCACAGGAGAAGATCCTCACCTTATCTCTTTTAAAATCTTATGCAACATTTGGTTTTCCCCCACTATAAAGGCCATGGGCATGCCATGTTGTATTTGTGTCTCTTTTATAAATAAAATACTAATATAAAATATATGCTTCTGATTTGGCCTCAAAGTCTTACCTCCTTGTTTGCATCTCTTCTTCTCGTGACTTCAAAAAGTGTGCAAATGTTTCCATAAATTGCAAGTAGCTACTGGGAGTGATATAATAGTATCTTCCAGTTTCATGAAAGTATTTTGTATTCAAGTCTTTTATACTTTTGTGGATTTGGACACATGTTGGGGCAAGTTTTTCTTTTACATTCTGAAAAAAATAAGAATTAAGACAAAGCAATCCAAATATACGTAAAGAATAAAACGGAACACTGTGAATACTTAAAAATAGTTTATCATTTCCGAGATGTAAAAATGTAGAGAAAAGTTCTGGAAGAATGGAACCAAGAACATAAAATTCATATGAGTTTTAATAGCTGGGATAGAACGGGCAACCATTCAGTCAATGATTAATGGCATGCCAAACACATTCTTCTAGACTTTATTCGCATTTTCTGCTATAATCATCCAAATATTTAGGACACCAGCCTCAACTCTGTTTTTCCTTGAATATAATGAAGCTACAAAAACATAAGGGCCCAAAGAATATGTAAGTGGGTAAAACTAGAGTAGAAAAAGTATGCCCTTTACTGAGGTCTGGAGAGATTCTAATTTAGGCATTAACTAGTCCTGGTTATCCGTCTCTGATTCACCAAGTGTAGCCAGTCATTGGTCACTTTAACGTAATTTCCTTTTCTTTCTGGATCTACCCTGTCTCTAGCTTTCTTAGCCTTTGCTTTCCTTGAACACTTGAACAAATAAGGAGGCAAGCCCTTTTCTAGGTCCACACTGAGTTTCAGGCTTCTGCATTTATATTATTCCTTACCTCTTTTCTGTCAGCTCAGTTTTATGGGTTCTTCAGTTAAGCTCTCTAGAATAAATTCTTACTGTGATTAATTAATTTTAAGTTATTAATAATTTTGTATTGTGGGATGTGCTCTTGCTCTCATTTTTTTTTTTATAGTTTTGCATTTGTAGCCAAGCCCAAAAAAGGCATAAGATATACACAGAATATGCAGCATCTTTACCCTAGGATCTGATATGCCAACTGGAGGTTGTTTTCTTTCATGGATATCTGCTTTTCAGAATAATAAAGAACCCAGATAGGGTAGAATCTGGGAATCTTTTTATTAAAAAAGAATTATTTTATTATGTTATTTATTTATTTAAATTCAATCAGAAAGGGACAGAGAGAGAGGCAAGAGAGAAAGTGAGAAAGCAAGCCACTAAGTCCAAGACTTGAACCACGATTAGCCATGAGGGAGTCCAGTGCCCTTAACAACCATGCCACCTGCCAGCCCCAAATCTGGGAACCTTTTAAACGGTGAATTGGGGGGCAAAAGATGGGGAACTGATAAGCAATTAAGATAAACATTTGACCCATTTCATAATTTGCTAAGTATTGCCTGGTTTCGCTCATCTAGACTTCATTGCTATTCAGAGACATACCACTATCAGGTGCTATTAATAAAGGGAAAACTTCACTTGCTTTAGAGATTTACCTCTCTGTTTTCTAAATCCACCTTTTCTCTCAAGAAAGAGTTGGATAGAATAAGGAGAGCTTCTTCTGGCCACTTTTCATACCAATCAATCGTGCAGGAGCTAATCATGGAAGGATATACTCTACAAATTTGGCGAAAGTTAGATCCCACAGGACTCATGATCATAAAAATATGAAGATTTTTATATATTCTCTGAAAATTAATGAAAGTATAAGTTGTTAAAATGACATCCACTTCTTTGAAAACAGTACAATATGGAAAGTTTTATTAAAAACTTGTTTTAATTTTTTCCTTCACGGGTAAACGAGAGACCGATGATTGTGTTGAGTGCCTGTCATAAACAGAGTGCTTCCCAGGTAGCTAGTAATCCCGAAGAGCTCTTCTGAGGAAAGCAGACACGTTCTGCTCATGTGATCCCACCCTCTTGTCTCCAGCAGGGCGGCCTCTTTGGGGAAGGCACTACACCCAGAACATTCCCTGCACAAACGAGTTCTTACGAGGAGGTCTAGTGCTAGATTTCTGTGGGAGACCTTACATCAGATTGCTATTACACCAAGCTAGGTACTGAACAGGAATCAGTCACTCACCACCCGAAAAGCCAAATCATGACCGATGAAGTTTGTTGAGGAGGAAGACTACTACAGATGACAGCACCTGGGAGACGGGGAGTGGGCTTTCTCAAAAGGTTGTCTCTCTGAATGTGTTCAGGGATGGGCTTATACAGAGAAATAATTCCCACCCAGGTTTTGAACCAGATAGGTTCATAGGTGCAAATGAAAAATTGAAACTTATGTAGCTCTGAGGGGCTAACTCAAGCAGCATTCCTATTAGCCCATTAGTATTATTATTTTTGACAGAAATAAGGTGACTTGTGGTCTTTCCCCAGTGAACATTTTGGTTTGGGTAATCATGTCTACCCATTCACTAAGCTATTTGTCAGTCATCTCGTGTCAAAGATGTAGAAAGCCTACGTCAGTTTCTATATATTGATATCTAAATATATCTATACATTGATATCTATAGCTCTCATTTAAACAGTTCTTTCACAGCTACTCTGTTTCTGAGTTCATTCCGCTGGGTCATTGGAAAAATCATATTTTTACATAGAAGAACACATCTTGATGTTCCCAATGATCCAGTACAATCACCTGTTGACATGACCAATTTCTTTCTGTATCTGTCCCATCCTGATCAATTTTAGGGCTATTCAAAGGGGTGAAAAATTCTTGTTTCTTGCCTTCCCAGATTTGTTACCAATATAGCTGAAATAAAAACCTCATTAAGAAAGAATCTCAGTGTAAAAAATAACATTAGGAGTTTTTCATTTAATTGCCTCCAGCTGTTGCTATATATATATATTTTTTAAATCATTAATAGCCAGCCAGGCTCTAAATCTCTTTTATCTTTGGCCCACCTAAAGGTATGGTGTGTCTGTATGTGTAGGTATTGTGGTCATTATTTTAGTTTAAACTCAGAAGTAAATAAATTATATCCAACTTGAAAATATATATCCAATTTGAAAATCATGTACAGAATTATAAACATGGTTTTAATTTAACATGCCACTTTGATATTAGCCAGCCCACAGAAAATTACCTTTTGGAAGAATGAAAGCAAAGATTGTCTGTCATCCACATGACTCAGCTGTTCAAAAAGGATTCTTATCTTTTTTATAATAGAGTCCAGCTCCTCATTTTCAAACAAGTCAGGTATTTTTCCCAAATTGATAATACAGTTCAAATCTTCCAAAAATGAGTACTTAAGTGAAACATAAGTTTAATCAGAATGAGTAAATTATTTGTATAATCTACTCTTAACACAACAATTGAAATAATGATTAAGGGTAACAGAAAAGTTTTTTTTTTTTTTAAAGCTAACATTTTAATTCAAACCCATCAAAGATTTTTTTCCTGAGTCAAAATAAGCTTTATTCATTCATCCGTTCATGCAAACATTAGAAAAACATCTACTTGTTACTGACAGTATGCCAAACACCTGTGTTAGGCACTGGGGCAAGAAATATGAAAGGGTAGGTACTGGGGGACCAGCAGGTGATGTGGTGGTTAGGGTGGCCGACCACAGTTCGAGTCCCGGACCTGGTGGCTTGCTTTCTCACTTCCTCTCTCTCTCTCTTTGGTCAAATTAAGATAAATGAATGAATAAAATTAAATAATTCTTTTTTTAAAAAACGGGTAGGTACTATAATGAATTGAGCAGGAAACTTGGTTCAAGCAGTTCATAGAAGTCCTTAGTACATCTCCATCTGAGTTTGAAGAATAGACAAAGTAGAAAAATATGGCTGAAGGATTATTTAAATGTAAGCAAGTTCATTTCTATATAGGGTTAGAAATCTTATGGGAAAGCCAACAGGAAAATAAGTGGTGAGAGAAACTCTACCAGAAGAGTTGGAGAAGTATTAACATTGACTTGATTCTTACCCACTCTTTTTGAGTCGCATGAAAAGCAGTATTACCAAAATAACCTAGAAAGTATAGAAGGCAGGGACTAGCAGTTGACATAATGGCTATGTTGCTGGACTTCCAGGTTCGAGTCCTGGACCCGGTGGTTTAAACTCATGCTGGGTGCATGTGTGTGCATGCCCAAAATCCTGAGAGAATGAAGGAGAAGGGATTGTGGTGTGGCCATTCCCCTGGAGGGTTATTTCTTGCTTTCTGTCTCTCTGGCGAGTACACGCGCCCTATAGCAAAAATCTCTCTCTCAAAAAAAAAAAAAAAGAAAGTATAGAAGGCAGAGCCAATGACCTTGAAGTCCTGAGAAACATGGGAACAGAGGGACCATAGTCACTTCAGCCTTGGCTTGAAATGGTTTTCTGAAAAATAATTTATTAAATTGGAACAGTGGGGGTCTGGCTCCACAGTGCAGTGGATAAGTGCTGTGCAAAGGAAGCTGAATCCCACATGGCCAGCTGGAGTTCAAGACCTGGATCTGGTGGCTTGAAAAACATGCCAAAAAGGTTTGTATACCCAGGATCATAGCAGGATGGAGAAGGGTTGGAAAACAGATTGCAGCATGATCAGACCCTACTGGGGTTTGCTTTCTCTCCCTCATGCTCTCTGGTGTTTAAAAAAAAAAAAATTAGAACAGTGGGTTCCTGACATGGGAGAAACTATACCTTCTGAAATCCAGAAAGAAAGCATATAGTAGAAACCTTAACTAGATCAAAAGAACAGGATATATAAATTTCAGGGAAGAAGAACATACAGATAAAGCAGGAAAACTGGGTATTACTGAGTACAGCAGGTACAACATGACACTTGGATTTACTCTCAAAATAAGAGATGAAAAGAAAAAAAAGAAAAGAACTAGGAAGAGAGGCCTAACATTAGCAGAAAAACAGGATGAGGGTTTGAAACCAAACTCATAACTTTATATGTCTGTATCATAAATAATGTTCCTTTTTGTCACAAAGCAGTAAATACAATCTGTGATGCCATTCCTACTTATGTTCTAGCTATGGGAAAATAACAGTTTTTAAAAAGGTTATTAGGGGGCCAGCAGGTGGCATAGAGGTTAAGGTGCTGGATTCCCATATGGCCAACTGTGGTTCAAGTCCCAGACCCTGTGGCTTAAAAATCACACTGAGCATGTGTGCATGTGTGCCAAAAATCCCAGGAAGATTTTTAAATTTAAGATACTACTAAATGGAGGAGAAGGGATGCAGTATGGCCATCCCTCTGGGGAGTGATCTCTCACTTTTCCTCTCTCTCTCTTATCTCTGGCAAGCACTTGCACCCTATGGCAAAAGCCTTAAACAAAAAAAAGTAAGTTATTAGCTTTTTTCCTTGTACATGAAAAAAGGTATATTCTACAAGAAAAATCCTAATGGTGATAATAGAGCAGAAAAAAGATAAAAGGAGAGAAACAGAGCATACTGTAGATTACACATGTAATCATAGATTACAGACAGTGGATACAGATGAGGGTATTAATTTTCTTTTTTTAGAATTATTTAATTTTATTCATTGTCACTATTTTTTTTTTTTAATAGGTTCAGCAATCGAACCATAGTCAGCCATGTGGGACCCCAGCAGCCTTAACCACCATGCCACCTGCTGGCCCCAAGAGTATTTTTAAAGTTTATCTATTTACTTATTCCGTGAGTGAAAAAGACAGAGAGAAGCCCCAACAGAGTCCTGACAACATAATCCCCCCTTGATCTTTGACCAGCCTTGGATCATGGTCAGGTGTGTGCCTGGTATACTCAGGGAGATCTCTAGACTTGCGCCAGAAACCTACCCATACAGGGTTGCCTCACGCTGTGATTTACTACTGCACCACAGTCTGGCCCCAAGAGTCTTTTTAAAATACAGATTACAGGGACCAGCAGGTGGCATGGTGGTTAAGGCACTGAACACTCCCACATGGGTGACCATGGTTTGAGTCCTGGATCTGGTGGCTTGCTTTCTCACTTTCCCTCTTTCTCTCTGTCTCTTTCTGGTCAAATTAAAAAATAAATGAAGGAATAAATAAAATTAAACAAATAATTATTTAAAAAAATACAGATTACAAAACTATTAGGTCATCAGGAAAAATCATGATGTGTTTTTTTTGTTTGTTTTTCTATGCAAAAATGCATCATGACTTTCCCAACAACCCAATAGTTCTGATGGAAGATTGATGACTTCAACTACATATGGAAATTATTTCCAATTTATCAATTAAAATGAAAATGATAAAGATATAGAAAATACATTCATTGTAATGTTTATTCAGAATAATTTAGGTGTGATTACAATAGATTATAACCTTTGTGGGCTATGACTGAATTAGACAATGAAAAAAATTGATATGGTAGGCTAGCAGGATTATAGATACTTTCTTTTTGTTCCATTATTAAATTTCATGAGGGAGAGGGACTGGCAGATGGCTTGGTGGTTAAAGGCGCTGGATTCCCACATGGCCAACTGCAGTTTGAATCTCAGACCTGATGTCTTGCTTTTTCACTTTATTCCTCTCTCTCTTTCTCTGGTCAAATTAGAAATAAATAAAAATAATAAAATTGAATAAAATAATTGTTTGAGGCCAGCAGGTGGCATGGCAGTTAAGGGCACTGGACTCCCACATGGCTAACTGCAGTTTGAGTCCTGGACCTGATAGCTTGCTTTCTCACTTTCCCTTTCTCTCTCTCTCTCTGGTCAAATTAAATAATAATAATAATAAATAAAGCTAAATAAATACTTTAAATTTTTTTAATTTTTTAAAAAAATCATGGGGGAGGATACTACATAAATATAAAAACTTGGCAAATAACAAAGGCAAAAAAGTACTTACTTGTTCTAGGTTTAAATTACCAACCATCACTACAGTAGGGTTTCCTTCTAGCCCTGCTTGAATAAACACCTTTTTAAAGATTTCCTTGAATTCTACGTAAGAATAATTGTGAGTCATAGACATTTGATATGGTTTGTGTTCTGCCAAATAACAGGCCATGGTTGCACAAGTGTCTTTTCCACATCCATCTATTCAAATCTTTGGGGAGAAAAAAATCCAATGTATTATTCTAATCTTTTCTGGGAATCTTTCAGTATATAATTTTCTATTTATTTGTGCTAGAAATTTTGATAGAAATACCTCAGATTATTTTAATGTATAACTTTTTGGGGAAGTATATTAAACTTAAGTATGTTAGCAAAGCTTTGTAAGGTACTCATCCACAATCAATAGTTTATCTTTTCATGGGCTCTTGAAATATGAGATAATTTTAGCCAGAAAGATAGCATACTCTAGAAAAATAGCACAAATAGATTTTAAATAATCATACATCACTGACAATATTTGATACTTGATTTGTAAGAAACTAGTAGGCCTTGACCCATTTATTTTGAGCAACAGGCACTTAATAAATGTTCATTGGCATTGATGACAAAGTATTGCCTTTTAGAGACCAGCAAATGGCATAATGGTTACGTCATTGGACTCCCATGTAAAGTATTGCCTTTTAGGGACCAGCAAATGGCATTATGGTTACATCATTGGACTCCCATGTAGTTCTCTGCAGTTCAAGTCCCAGGCTCAGCGGCTTAAACTCATGCTGGGTGCATATGCATGCATGCCCAAGATCCTGAGAGACAAATGGAGAAGGGATTGCAGTGTGGCCATCCCTGCTGGGGGGTGATTTCTCACTTCCTGTCTCTTGGTGTCTCTCTAGCAAGCGCATGTGTCCTATAACACAAATCTCTCTTTATAAAATATATCTATAAATATATTTTAAAAAAACAACTTTATTGAAATATAACTTGCAAACTACACCTGTCTTAATTGTAAGTCAATAAATTTTAGTAAATTTATAGATGTATGCAACTCTTACTTACTATAATCCAGTTTAGAATATTCCCATCCTTCCAAAAAGCTCTCTCAAACCCGTGTTCAGTTAGTCCCCAGGCCTACACAGTCTCCCAATATGCTTTCTGTCTCTATTTGTTTTTTGGGCATGGGCATTTCATATAAATGGAACTGTCCATCACATCTGATTTGTTTTACTGCATATAATGTTTTTTTTTTTTTTTTGTTGGTGTTGTTCATGTAGTTGTATATTAGTGGTTCATGTCTTCGTATTTCTGAATGGTATTTTATTGGATGGACATACTCATTTTATTTACCTATTGGCCATTGATAGACATTTGGATCATATTCACTTCTTGGCTATTATGAATAATGCTAGTAGTATTTGCACACACAATTTTGAATGGACTTTTTTTTTTTTTTAAATTCTTTCTCATGTGTAGATACATAGAAATGGTATTGCTCAGTGAAGTGGTAAATCTATGTTCAACATGTGAGAAATGGCCAAAACATTTTCCAAAGTAGGTTTACTATGTTACATTGCCCCCAGAAAAATATGAGAGTTCAGTTTATTCACAATCTTGTCGACACTTGTTGTTGACTATCTTTTTGATCATATTGTAGCTGCTCAGATGAGTATGTATTGTTATCTCAGATGAGTATGTATTGTTATATCATTTCCTTAATGATTAATGATATTGAACATCTTTTTATGGGCTTATTAGCCATTTGTGCATCTAATTTGGGGAAACATCTATTCAAGTCTTTTGTAATTTTAAGAAATAAACTTATTTTAAAAGAGTTTTATATTTGTCAAGAAATACGGCCAAGTTGGTGCAAAGAATTGCCATGTACTGCATGTCTAGACTCCCCTATTTTAACATGTAACATGAATATACTACATTTGTGACAGTTGAAGTTGAACCAGTTTTAATATTCTATTATTAACGAAAGTTCACACGTTCCTCAGATTTCCTTATTTTTTTTTTTAAACTAATGTCCTTCTGTTTCAAGAACCCCTCTAGGGTCCCCACAGTACATTTAGTAGCCATGTCTTTTTAGCTGTGACAGTTTCTTAGACTCTCCTTGTTTCTGATGACCTTGACCATCTCAAGGAGTACTTGTTAGGTATTTTGCAGAATGTCCCACTACTGGGACATTTATTGATGTTTTTCTCTTGATTAGACTGGAGTTATATGTTCTTAAGGTGTAAAGTGCTATTTTCTTCATATTATTTCAAGAAGATGCACCATCAACATGATTTGTCCCTTTTGATGATGACCTGGATCACTTCGGTGAAGTACTGTTTGTCAAGTTTCCCCACTGTGAAGTTACTCTCTCCCCCCTTCTAAACTGTGCACTTTCCCCCTTTTTACCCATGATAGAACATGGGTGCACGTGAGAGAAAGAGAGAGAGAGGGAGGAAAGAAGCACCCACTGTATAGTCTGGCCACACTGTGATCCCCTTCCTCCAGGCAGAAATAGGAAGGTCTACCTGAGGGCAGCTGTTTAACTTTCTTTCTTTCTTTTCTTTTCTTTTTTCTTTCTTTCTTTCTTTCTTTCTTTCTTTCTTTCTTTCTTTCTTTCTTTTTCTTTTTCTTTTTCTTTCTTTCTTTCTTTCTTTCTTTCTTTTTTTTTAAGAGAGATTTTTTGCTATAAGGTGAACATGCTTGCCAGAGACACAGAGAGACAGAAAGTGAGAAATCCCCACCTGGGGGAGATGGCCGTGCCACAATCTCCAATCCTCCAATCTCCTCCTGGGATTTTGGGAATGCACACACGTGTCTGGCGTGAGTTTAAAGCTGCCATGTCCTGGACTTGAACTGTGGTCGACTACATGGGAATTCCAGGACGTATCCATTACATCATCTGTTGGTCCTGCCTGTCACCATCCTTGCTTTGGGACCCAAGCTATTATATCCATGCCATAGTATGTACTAAGCTTTGTATGCACACATTTATATAAATCTATATACATAACCTATAGTAAAAGCTAAGCAGAAGTTCAATTTGACTCTAACTCCAACCCAACATTACTCTCTGGATCATTCTAGCCTCTTCTTGTGTATCTGTAAGCTGCTACTCCAGCAGTGAGAAAACTGGCCCCCACCATCTGTCATCCATTACTTTACTATTTACTTCCAGTATTGTGCTATCAGATTAAATAACCTTATCCCCTTGGGAAACAACTTTAATTGGAGTACACTGCTTTTGTAAAGATTTGTTTGTTTGTTTTTGTCTTTAGTCTTATGGACTCCACTCATTTCCAAATTTCTTTTTCCCCTGATCTTCTTCATTGGATTTGTTTCACGTATTTGCAATGTGGCTTGGTTGTTCACATCCTACATTCCATCCTGTGATCCCCAGATCTTCTAAGGGATTTTTTCAAATTTACATGTACTGTATCAAGGTTCGTTCTTTGTACTGTAATATACTATAGGTTTTGTCAAATTACCCATTACAGTATCATATAGAATATTTACCACCCTAAAAATTTTCCATGTTGGGACCAGCAGATGATGTAATAGTTATGTCACTGGACTCCCACACAGTTGACCATGGTTCGAGTCCAGGACCCAGAGGCTTAAAACCACACTAGGTACGCATGTGTGCATGCCCAAAATCTTGAGAGGAGAGTGAAGAGAAGGGATTGCAGCATGGCCATCCCTGCCAGTGGGTGATTTCTCACTTTCTGTCTCCCTGGCCAGTGCACATGACCTACAGCAAAAATCTCTCTTAAATTAAAATGTTGGGTGTTTCATCTTCCCACCAACCTTTGGCAAATATTAAACTTTTAAACATCTCCATAGTTTTGTCTTTTCCAGAATGCCATATAATTAGACTTACATCACATGTAGGCTTTCTAGATTGGTTACTTTGATCTAGCAAAAGGCTTTAAGATTCATCCTGTCTTTTTGTGGCTTGATAGCTCGTTTGTTTTTGTCTCTGAATACTATTCCCTTGTATAAATGTACCACAGTTCACTTATCATTTGCTTAGTGAAGGACATCTTGTTTGCTTCCAGGTTTTGGTCAGAAAATACACTTTGACTGATTTCAATTCTTTTACATTTATTAAGGTCATTCTGAGGAATGTTTCATGTTCGTTTCAGAAGAATGCTTATTTTGCTCTTATTGGGTGAAGTCTTCTATCACATTCATTCAATCAAGTTGTTTTACAACACTGTTCAAGTCTTTATATCCGTGTTGACTTTTTACCTGGTTGCTCTAACCATGATTGGGGGACAGGGCCTAAAGTCTCTAGCTATCATTGTTGAATTGATTATCCATTAATATCCATTAGAGGGAGGTAGCTGTGGAGATGCAGAGAAGTGGGGATATTTAAAATACATTTTGAAGAAGTTGCATTGCCAGGAGTTATTGATAGACTAAATAGGAGGGATGGAAGAGTGATGACTAAGTCCTGGGTTTCTGGCTAGAGTGGTAGATGTATGTGATGTCATTTATGAAATGGGAAAGGTCAGTAAGGGAAGAGTTTCAGTGCTGGGAAGATTTCCCTTTTTTTAAAATTGTTTTTCCATTTTTAATTCCTTTTCATTAATCTTTTTATACATATCTGTCTAAATGAATATCTTTTGGGGGAAAAAAAGGGGCATAAATGCATACATTAAAAACTAAACTGTTGTAAGTATAAAATAAATATTAGGCATAAGTATCAGGACATCAAAAAAGTCATGGTGCATTTTTGCACAAAAAACATAGAATACATCTTGGCTTTCCCAAAGACCCAATAATAACAGTTATAAATAATGTGCTTTATGTAATTGACTAAATGTGTTGGATTTTTTTTTTTTTTTAGCTTACAAATGTTTTTCTCTATTTGAAGCATTTGGGAATTTTCCAAAATGTTAACTTCCACCTGTTTTCATGAGAAGGAAAAACTGTACGAGGCTTATGCTTCTGAATCAATATTCAAGCAAGTGTCTTACTTTTTGCACAGATACTGTATTAATGCTGGGGCTATACTACAGATGGTGCCAGACTCATTCATTTTATCCATGTTAAAAGCCTTCCAAAAGCAAATAACATTTTTATGTAATGACAAATGTATATGCAAACTGTAGAGAGGACAAAGATCCTCTCCTGTGACTCAATTACTATTTTTTCCCATAAAGTTTGGATAAACAAAACTTCTGTGAGTATAGTAGATCATATTGGACTTTCTTAATTTATTGTGCAAACTTAAAAACATCTGGAAAATGTATTCCTACCAGTAACATGTGATTCCCTAGTTGTCGAAGGACTCTCGTAGCTCTTGTGATGTGTTGTATAGCTTCCTTGAAGAACACAATGGAATGAGAAATCTAGTGGAGGAAGCAAGACAAATAACCTGATTATATGTGTAGGAAAAAAATTGAATGTGTATTGTGGTTTCATATACAAGGATATAGGAATGAGAATGATTATTCTGATAATCCAGTGGGCTAGATCCAGTAATCTGGTTTACCTTAACATTTAGGGAAAGTAAATTTGCACTGTGAGAATCGGCCTTATGCTAATATTCTTGTGAGTAATATTGGGGGAGGGGTCACAGGGTTGAAGGACAAGAATGAAGAGGAGAACAAGAGCATCTGGTTTGCTTTTCCATTGCCCTGTTTTGGCAGGTAGACAAGTTGTAGAAGGAAGAGACTTAAAAATTTGGTTTGCCTTATCTGCTTTTGTTGGTGTGTCTGTTCTACATATCTCTTCCCACGGCAATAATGGGAAAGAAAGATGTAAAAAGCCATGATCCTTCTGTTGTCCCTTGCTGCAAATCTGGCTCTTGTTGTCACACACATTTGCATTTCTTAACTTCATTAACTCGATCCATTCAATTTCCTAAGCCTCAGTTGTGCACCTTGTCTTTAAAATAAAATGAGATAAAACTATTACTAATGATCATCTTTGAAATCTGATTGCATATTTATCCTCTCTCCTCTTTTACACGTACGAATGTTTATCTTAAATATTGAATTTGCTATACGCGCGTGTGTGTGTGTGTGTGTGTGTGTGTGTGTGTGTAGCAAATGGCTAAATGAAGGTTGAGAGATGATATGACATGATGGTCTAGTACTCTTCAGATTTTTATGTACTGTATGTCTTTACCTCCAAAGATGCTGAACCCAGCTTGATTTGGAATTCATTAAGTACACTGGCAAGTTTATCATAGTCGTTAGTATTCTGATAGACTTTTCTTCTATGAGACTTGTTCAGATCCAAGAAGTCCACAAATACAGTTGAGTCATTCATCAAGTTTTCTTGAGTCCATTGAATCTATTGTAAGATAAGAAGTTAACACTATGTGAAAGATCAAAAGGGGGAGATGTGAAAGAACAGTCTAGACAAGTCTGTGGAGTAAAGCTCTAATTAAGGGTTAAAGGCTTCAGTAAAGCATACGCCTGAGACTTTGATTATACCCCACATCTGTTAGGGTGACTTCCCCAAAAGCCAAATTTTGGTTTTACTGTAAGCAAGCTGTGTTGCTGCAAAAGGATTTTAAGTTCTAGAATTATAACCCCCATTTTTCTTCCTGAGTTCTTGAGTTTGTGATATAAAGAATAAGTTCTAAAAAATCAGTTGCCTGTATTATTTTAAATGAATAGGTATAAACTTTTAATAAACAACAAATATTTTCCTCCTCTTCTGACACTTCTTTCTGTTTCATAAGCCAGCTTTTTTGGTTGCCATTTTCATCTGGAAAACTAGAAATTTGTTTATCTGGGTAATTCATCTTAAGCCAAACTCAAATAAACCACTTTTATGTCACTTAGGAAAAATTTTTTTTAACACTGTTAATAGCATATTCTACCTGTGATCATTTGTGTCAGAGAAGCTTCTAGCACAATGGATCTAGGACTTGGGGTTCTTAATCTATTTCGTGCAGTGGATTTCTTTTTGGCATATTTTAAAATGCATATAGTAAAATATAAAGATGATAAAGGAAACCAAACGTATTAAAATTCACTTCTATCACAGATCTTTGGACGCCAGGTTAAAAACCTTGGTATTGGAAATAACTTGTAGTTCCACCAACGATCTGTGAAGAAAAAAATCTCCCTCATCAATTGTTAATCACCAATATAATTCTGCAAGTTTGTACACTTGCTTTCCTGGCCCAGTTGGCATACTTTTGCTTATCTTTTATATGAAGGTCATGAGCTACCTTCTCTTTGAGGTCAGGCCATTTTGCCATCCCTTAAAACCAGACAGTAAGCATTACTCTTTCTTCTTTTATCCCACTATTGTGGTATGTGCATAGGTTGGTCATAGCATCTATGGAAATGTATTGCATCTATTAGGTTATAAGGCACTTAGAGGCAGAGTCCACATTTGTTTGTGGGACACAAAGTGACATTATGATTTATGACTAGAATAAGAAGTAAATAAGTTAATATATCCACCATCTTAAATATTTATTTTTGAACATTTGAAATTTACTTTTAGTGATTGTGAAGTGCATAGTGTACTGTATTATATATACAACCATATTAACCATGCTATGCAATAGATTAAAACAAACAAATTTATTCTTCCTGTCTAATTGAAGCTTTGTACCCTTTGACTATCATTTCTCCAATCCCCATACTAGCTAGTCTCTGATAACCACCATTCTGTTCTGATTCTGTGAAATTTAACTGCCATGGATTACACATGTAAGTGATAGTGTGCAGTATCTGCCTTTCTATACTTGGGTTATTACACTTAGTATAATGTTCTGGGAAGGTGAATCTGGAAAGATAGCGAGGATAGAACCAAGAGAAGGGTCTGTAAGTATAAAGGCAGAGGCAATAGAAATTGTGTTGTATTATGGCTAGCATGTGGAGTGAGATGCTCAGATTTCTGATACAGAAGGAGGTTTAGACAGTCATGCCAGTCGTGGTGGAAGGGAACACTAGAGCATGGTATCTTGGTGGTAGAAAAAGTACAATGGAAAGTGATTGGGAATGGTTTTAGACATGCTGAGTATGAAATGTCGAGTAACATGAGATATATTTAGAAGTTAAGTCAAGGTCCGGCTCTAAAGTTCGGGCTCTTTCCATGAAACCACTTGCTTATATTTGAAATGTAGATGTAAGGTCTAGTTTATTTCAGTATTATGGTAACTTACATTTATTAAGCACTTACTATGTTTTAGAAACTGTTCTAAACATTTTATGCAAATTAGTCTTATTCTTCCCACAGTTCTAATTACCCAATAATTTAGAGATGAGGAAACAAAGACACAAAGGGATCATTTGCCCAAGGATATACAGCTCATAAATGAAGAAGCGCTGGGCTTTGAACTTGGGGAAATTCTGTGTTTATAATCTCTGTATTCCATTGCTTCTCAGGCTTTTAGGAAAGAAATGTGAATGGAAGAGTCAGCTAGAGATTTCTAGTAACTGAGTAAAGGAAAGTAGGGACAGTGATTCTGAGGCATTACCAAAGAGTAGCCTCGACGAGGCAAACAAACAAACAAACAAACAAACAAAAAACCCAAGATGCATCCCAAACAAACAAACAAACAAACAAAAAACCCGAGATGGATCTTGTAGTAGTCTAGATGACTGAGTGGAAGTGATGGATATGGACATAGAGAAAGATGAGCTTCATGCAAAGCTGATTTTGCCAGATTTTTTTTTTTTTTTTAAAGATTGGAGGGTAGGTGGAGCAATATGGATTAACATGAATAATTTTATCAAGAAATTTCTGGGCCGAAGAGCAGAAATCTTAGATTAAAATAAAGTGATAAATGATATAAGTAAAATTGCAGTATATACAAAATCAATATACAAAAATTATGTTTTTATACATCAATAATGAATGAATGAGGCAAAATTGAAAAAAGTAACCCTGTTTACAATAGCCAAAAAATACCCAAAAACCCAAAATAGACAAAACAAAAACACCTTGGGAATAAACTTAACCAAGGAAGTGAAAGACCTCTACAAGGAAAACTATGAAACACTGAAAAAAGAAATTGAAGGTGATACCAATAAATGGAAGGACCTTCCTTGTTCTTAGATCAGAAGAATCAATATAATTAAAATGTCAGTTCTACCTGAACTAATTTACAAATGTGATTCCTATCAAATCACCATTGGTATTCTTCATAGAAATAGAAAAAAAAATCATAAAAATTTTCTGGACTTGTAAGAGACCTCCAAGACAATACTGTGCAAAATGAATCAAGTAGGAAGCATTTCACATAAACTAATGCAGGGTTCTTTATTGGAAACAATGTAGATAGTAATCTTTTTGATTTGACTATCACACACTGCGTGTATGCTTTGAAAAACCATATTGTGTGCCATAAGACAATTAAAGGTATATAGGAAAATAATTAATTAATAAAAAGAAAGTGATAATGAGAGTATACAAGAAGAATTGTTAGGCTCTTTCTGAATTTGTGACTTATCTCACAAACATATGTATGCATGCATATATAAATACATGCAGAGACATAGATTTACATGCATTTGTATATACTATGTATGTTCTGAGTTATATGCATACATGTATTATATTTCTTGGACTTCCATTAGCAGGGTGAGAGAAAGTGGCATCACCAAAGAAGAGAAAAATAGGGAAGAAAAGAAACATTCTCCCTAATTCTCTGGAATGAAGCTAGCAAAGAAGTCTAGTACACTACTCTGTTTAGTCACAGTCCCTTTAGTGTGACTCAGTTTACTGAGACTTTTTCTTTTTAACCTGGATTAAAAGGTAGGCAGTGAGGAAACTAAATTTCAAAGGAATGGAAAAGGGTATTGATATCAAGAAAGTGGACAGTTCTTCTAGTCCTGGAGAAAAATGATAATTTTTTTTCCTTCTAAATATGTATTTTTCTTAGAACATTATTTATTTATTTATTTTTATTTTTAGTTTGTTTTGCCATACATACATAAGGTATGTGCACTTGCCAGAGAGAGACAGAGCGATAGAGACAGAAAGTGAGAAATCACCCTCAGGGAGGATGGCTATGCTACATTTTCTTTTTCTCCATTTTCCTCTTGGAATTATAGGCATGCACTCACATGTGCCCAGCATGTTTTTCAGGCCATCATGTCTAGGACTTGAACCCATAGAATTGGCCCTGTGGGATCCAGTGCCTTAACCACTATACCACCTGTTGGTCAAAAATGATCAGTTTTGAGGTGCCTAAGAGACCAGGAGCATGAGCGAAGGCTCTGAACATATCTATTGTCTCTATCACATTTCAATCTGTACTTTTAGACACTTTCAAATGACATTGTTAAAGTTTCTTTAAGAACTTTCAAGAAACATTTTTGTCCAAGACTCCATTAAAAAAATTTCAAATATAAGTTTACCTTAACATAGTTCTCAAGTTCCTTTGAAAGCAACTGGTAGAAAAGGCTTTCTTCAGTGGGTTCAATTAAGCGATCATGAAAGACTCGGGCGGCTTCATGAACAAAGAGCCGAGCAGCCATCTCTTTGGAGTTAATAATCGCCCTGTCAGCTTGCAGCAGTCCGAGGAGAAGCTAGTAGAAATTTAAAAATTACATTTTTAAAAACATTAGCAGGGTAGTATGTGAAGTGTATATTGATTTTTGTAGGTTTATATACCTTAAAAATAGGAGCAATTATTCAAGGTAAAAGCCCCTATTTTTATAGGGAGGGAGTTTAGACACTCCTTAGCCACATCTAATGAAGGCCTTGCTAGGAGGGAAAGCCACAAGTGTTGACCATGGTCCTGACATGAACGCAAGGTAGTGGAAGTGGTATAGAGGTATTTCTTAATAGTGATATGATTTGTATTTTAAAAAATCCTTATAGCCTATTTCAAAGATTAAATATGCTATTTAGGTCTAAGAAAGTTATCAAATTCAGGAGTTTTTTTTCTTTTTAATTTTAACAATTACCAAGTCTAAACCAGAACCATTAAAAAAAAATATGGAGAGGTTTGTTTATTTATTTATTTTGTCATAGGGCACGTGCACTCACAAGAAAGAGACAGAGAGACAAAGTGAGAAATCACCCCCGGGGGTGGGGTGGTGGCCATGCCGCAAACCCTTCTCCTCCATTCTCCACTAGGGATCTTGGGCACGCATGCACATGCGCCCGGCATGAGTTTAAGCCACTGGGCCTGGGACTCGAATGGCGGTTGACTACATGGGAGTCCAGTGACATAGCCATTACGCTAACTGCTGGTCCCATCCATTGAAAAAATATGAAAATTCAAGCATGTTTATAAAATGCATATATTTTCATATTCTGACTATAGTCAAATCTCAGAAATGAAGTGAAACCAGAAATGAAGTGAAACCAAAATACATGTATAACCTTGCCATTTCTTTCCCTGGTGAGTTTGACAGTATTCTAACAGTTTTAGTGGTTTCATCATTGAATTCTCTTCCTAGAATTATTTTAACAACTCTTTTCAACTAACTCATGGGATAAGCTGCTAATAAATGCAACATCAACCAACATGAATTTCACTTTTTCCCTTCTAGGGATTTAATGTTGACAGCCAGTGAGTAGGGAAATGGAGAGAAAGGAGAGGCGAGTTGGGGAGGGGAGAATTGATTCAGTAAAACAGTATCTCCTCAATTTGAATTTTAAAAGTAAGCTTGAGAGTGAATTTTAATACACACCTTATACAAATCTCGAAGATTAAACATGTAGTGACATTTTGTTGGAGTTGGCAACATGCTCTGACATACTCGATAGTATATAGCTAGGCAACAAGACGTTATCTGATCCTTGCTTTTCTGAACGTCAGATGTAAAGTTATTGACAGAGAAATACATTCCCAAATGAGCCTTAAAAAAAAAATTGCACAATTTAGTTTGCCAAAAATTTTTAGTATAGATCATCTCTGGCTGGCCGCTATTAAAAAGATGAGTCGTGTGCTATAATGAAGGATTACTTTCAGGAGAAATATTAATAATTGAGTGAAATGGAGGGGCTCAGGAAAAAACATTTAATAGACACAATGGAAAATTATCTGTTAAGATGATGTATACAGTAATATCTCTGACTTCATCAATAAGCAATGCATGTATGCTTTGCAAAAACCATATTGCATCTGTTAAGATGTACAATGATTAAATATTAAAAAAGACAAAAAGATGTTAATAATTGAAATCCATTCTTTTTAAAAGTAAAAATAAAAGAAATCTACTTTTTTAAAAAATGGCAGACTAAAACAAAGACACTGGTCATTGCAAACTAGGAAATATTCCAATTGGTCCTAATTTGGTGAACGGTCTAGAAGCATGTGATACATATTCTCTGGAAATAGTTTATGCTCCACCTCTGTATATACTAGGTATGCTGGGAATTCTTCCAACTTTTTGCTCCCCGGTAGATGTTACTAGAAGTATGAAGCACTAGAGCTATTACCTCAGTCTGACTTGGTATACCTCTATATTTCCTTCTAAAAATTCTGATTATCTTCTTGGAAAAAATGGCTCAATCACACTTGAAATCCAGTGTGGTTAAGAAAAGCAAAACATGCAAGATAACTACATTTTTCAAAACTAATATTGTGGTTTTCTTCTTTATAGTATACATTTGAATGTTTTTGTTTTATTTTTATGGGAGAGAGAGATTATCTTGCTGTGGAGTGATTCTCTTGCCCCAGCCTCTCAGCTAGGATTACAGGAGTGCACTACCATACCTTGCCTGTTTAGGCTTGTTCAGGAACCAAACCTGTGACTCTAGCTTCACACTGTGGTGCCCTATCATTTGTGTCACTGTGGCTGGTTTTGAAAGGTACATTTTTAGAAACCATTTTCTTTTTTAATTTTATTGCCAGAAGGCACATGCGCTTGCTAGAGAGAATGAGAGATAAAGAAAGAAAAGCATCCCTTCCCATGGGGCATGGCCACACTACAATCTCTCCTATTTTCCATCCTGTTGGGTTTTAGGGCACAGTGTGTTTTTCAAGTTGCTGGGGCTGATATGCAAACTGAGTTTGCCTATGTGGGATCTGGCTCTTTCAACAAAATAGGCTATGGGATTGGCCACATGCTGATGCAGGTGATCAATAGTCCACACTTGAAAAACAAATCTATTTTAGAAGAATGTATACACATAGCCAATCCTAACTGACATAATAGTTTTCTCATTTTTTTAAATTTATTTTTAATTTTTATTAAAAGAAAATGAAAAAAGCAAAAAGTCATAGTAAGTAGTAATAATGTGCTTATTAAAAATGCAGGTTCTTGAGCTCCATTCCAGGTATACTGAATCAGAATCTGAGAATAATCCCCTGGGATCTATATTTAGGACATTCACTAAACACGCACCACATGTGTTTCTTATGCACACTAAATTTTTTTTCAACATTTAAAGACAAATTGTAAAAATAGGCTAGAAAAATATAGGGGAAAATTAAATTCATCTACTTAAAAGAATATTCTTTCCAACTCAGGGGTTCTAAGTTGTCACATTTCCCCTTAAAACTATAGAATTAATTTTTCTTTCAGTAGTAAACGAACTTGTTGTATTACCTGGAAAATAGTCCGTAAGGCACTTTGTGGTGGATGAGGCAATACCAGCGTGGAAAAATGTTTGAGGGTTCGTGGGTTAATATCATTCCCACCAACTGGAGGAACACAAGCTGCAACTAGAGAGAGATCTTGAATATTCTGTGGAAAGAGTTTAAAAATTTAAAAAAGTAACTAAATGCATCTGTAGCAAGCAAAATATACTGTATATTCTCTACCCGAAATGGACCCAAAGTTTGAAGAACATTTAGGAAAAAAGATTAAGATTAAAAATGAGAACCAAAGGGAAGGACACAAAGATGGAAAATGATCTGTTGCTGATAACATGTATGATATCTTTGAACTAATGTACAGTATGTTCACAGTGGGAAAATTCCTTTTGTATGCTGTAATGATATACAATGACTGAATATATGAAAACCAAAATATTTGGGACCAGCAGATGGCATAATGGTTACGTGGCTGGACTCCCATGTAGTTAGCCGTAGCTTAAGACCTGGACCTGGTGGCTTAAAACTCACGCTAGGCACATGTCTGTGCACGTTCTGAGAGGAGAATGGAAGACAAAGAATTGTGGCATGGCCATCCTCCCTGGGGGATGATTTCTCACTTTCTGTCTCTCTGCTGAGCACATGTGTCCTATAGCAAAAATCTGTCTAAAAAAAGGAATGGTAATAATAAATAAATAAGATATTTTAAAAACTTTGCTGGTTTAATGGAACAAAAGTTTTTTTAAAAAACAAATTTCTATTGACTGCAATACAAAAATTATGATGGTAATAGAAATCTATCTTCTTAGAAGTAACTCATCCTAAAATGTAATTTCAAGACAGTTACTTCTAGGAGGTTTTCTAAATGTCATCAGTAAATACTCACTACCCTTGACCCCTTTTTTAAAAGCAGCAACTGTAAAATAAGCATTACGTTATTGAGTCTAGCAAATAAGATTCTGGTGACAAGTGAGAACTCAGAAGAGCCTGTTGAGTATGTCTTCAGAATGGTCAAACTTGTTTAGGATCACATATTATAGCTGATGGACACTTGACATACTATATGGTGAAATCACATGGATAATCTACTCGTGATGGGGTGCTTTTAATAGCTTAGTTCCTGGCTATGCCCATACCCACAGCCACAGAAGTCCCATAACAGGCCTGTTGTGATTTTTTTTTTTTTTGGAGAGGTTTTTGCTATAGGGCGCGTGCGCTCGCCAGACAGACAGAGACAGACAGACAGAAAGCGAGAAATCACCCCCCCAGGGGGGATGGTCATGCCGCAATCCCTTCTCCTCCATTCTCCTCTCGGGATCTTGGGCACATACGCACACGCGCCCGGCATGAGTTTTAAGCCACCGGGTCCGGGACGCGAACCGCGGTTGACTACGTGGGAGTCCAGCGACATAGCCATTACGCTAACTGCTAGTTCACTACTTTTCTGGTCAGTTTAGGGAACTTCTCTAGACTGTATTTTCCAGAAGTTATGTCCTGCCTTCTCTTTTTCCTAGTATCCTGGACATTCCCTGGTGGACTGTCTCTGGATTCTTCCTCTCAGCCGTGGGCTCATGGTTGTTTCAGACAGTCTGGTGTCTGAGCTGATGGTACTCACAAATCAGAGTGTCTCATTCAGAATCCTAGGCCCAAATTTATCTGAGACATGAAACTTTCTAATTTAGACATCTAGTTTTGCAGATGAGGAACCTGAGACCCAGAAAGTTTAAGTGGTAGAATCTGGTTTAATGTAACAAAAATAATTGCATAGGAATACTTCCTTGAGAATGTATTTGACTTTGCAATACTTCTGAAAATCCTTATCTATGTTCTTAAAAACAGAGATGTAGTCTATTATAGAGATTAAGGATATATTTGGTAGGCCACATTTTTATTGCATTTATTCAACTGTCCTAACTCTACTGAAAATTTTGATTAACTGCAGATACAGTTAACAATAGTAGCATTATTTGACTCAGAAACTAAACCTCTAGGACTTTTAAGTTTTACTAAGATTCAAGCCTACTAAAATCCATGGACCTCTTCCTAACTGCAAAGAAGCGGTGCATTTCTAAAATGCAATGCTATGTGAAACTGATCCACTTAGGAAGGTTCCAGGTTCTATTTTGGAGAGCCCCATCAGTATGCCAGGCATGTGCTTCATGATCTGTGGTTAGCTGTGGCTGGGGATGGACTGTAGCACTGAGACCCTGTTAGGGGTGCTGTCTCTCTTGTTCATGGATTTAAGGAAATAAACTTTAGTAAATAAATAAGTAGATTACAAAGTTGTAATTGGTATGGGCCGACTTTGCTTAGTGTGTCCATATGGTTAGACTTTCTAAATTTCTCACTTAATTCACCCAAAATTGTTATAAATATTTAATTTCTTAAGTAACAATCTTTAATGTGAACAAAATCTTCAAATGGTACTTTACCTTCCATACATTTTTTGCAGTATCATAAACCCCTCCCAAATCTAATAATTGTCTGATCAGTTCCAGGGGTGGATGTGCTCCGTACATATCTGCTACTGGCATAGTTATATCATCAATAAATACTACAATCTTAAGAAAGACAGAAGGTTTTAAAACATTAAATTTTTTAAAGAAATTAACTTGTACTACTTTTTACATATTATTAACTAGGAATATCAATTATACTATGTTGTAAGAACAAAATTCTACGTAATAGCAAATCTAAGTTTCTACTGAAAAACGACAGGCAAAATTCTATTTTAAAGACATGATTTTAGAAAGCAGTAAGTTTTTGAAATAGTAGAAACTCTACTCATCATTTACCAAAAATAATTAGTCTGATAACAGTTAGAAATGTATTTGACTCTGGATATAGTAATCTAGGCTATTTACAAAAGAAAGTTCCTATTATTCAGTCGACATTTACTGAGTGCCTATAATCGGAAGGTGTCATTGTAAGTGTTTAACTATTTCATCTGCATTTTGGTTTGGGAATAAGACTAGTATTTAGAATTAGACTTAAAATTTTGTTGCAATGCTGTTGTCAGTAACAACCAGCAAAAAATTCAGACATATTTCCATTTTTAAACCTGTGTTACTTTCCACCTATGAATTTATTATGCACTTAAGTGTACTGATTATCATTTTTGTGTCCATGAGATTTTTGTGTCCCTTTAGATTGTATTTATTTTTATAAAACAAGTAGTTAGAAAAAAATAGAAATAGTCACTTTTATTGAATTATCTGTTTACCTAATTTACAACTGTTAATACCATTTTTAGTAAGTTTATCTTTTTTCATATAAAAAAACTGACATTTCTCTTGCTTGTAGGTTGTCCAAATATTAACTTTTTCAAAATCCCAAGTTTATCGGTTTCTTTAGTTAAAATCAAGGCAATCGGTAGCAAATCCTTAAAAGCTCTAAGAATTGATAACCACATGGGAGTTAAACAGGGGTTCCTAAGAACCCCATGTAACTTTTGTTTTTAACTAATATTGCAAATCTCTTGACTCTGAGCTTATTTTATGGTATTGAACTGGAGTTACTTATTATAAATTTCAGTGGTGATAAAGAGTTCAATACGTGAACCACTAACAATGTGCTAGGCAGACGGGGGTAAGAATAAGAAATACACAACATAATTTTAAGAGTAGGAGTTGTCCTAGGCTCTTCTTCTGTTCTAACAAGGCTATTATTCTCTTGATACCTTTCCATGAGGTTATGGATACGACGAGTTTCATTTCCTCTTAAGGGACCTACCCATGGTCACAGAAAAAAATGTAGTATGAACACACAGTCATAAAGTAATTGTTATCTACTCCGTTTTCTAGTCTTCGTACCTTTATTAGACTTCAGTAACTTCTTTTGGTTTTAGTAGTTCTTAATCAGTATAATTCATTATGTTAAAAATGGAATAATATTGGTTTGAAAACCCAAAGCACATCTTCTAGGAATGTCCAGGAGTATATGCTATTATGTATCTTTTTCTTTCTATTAATACTAATGAAAACAAATCAATTTATAACTAGAGTAGCATAAGCAGATTACTGAACATATATGGAGATGTTTTACCCTGTTGTTCCTTGGTGCTCCAAGAGTGTCTCTTGTTCTTCTTACTAACTTCTTAAGTATCATCTCCTTGGCTTGGGCAGCTGTCATATTAGTGCTAAAATTTATTGTAGAGACTATAATTCCTCTATAATTTTTAAATGAACTTTCATGTGCTCTATATTTGGACTTCTTAGTAGTAATATCTATGATGCCAAATAGGAAAAGGACAAATTTAGAATATTTCAGAAATATTTTTGCCTTACTTTAAAGTGTCAAGAAATTGGAAAGCTTAATTTCATTATATTGTTATATTCAAGAAAGTACTCGAGAAGGAACACCAACTTTGTAATATTTCTTTACTTTTTAATGGTAGACACTTTGTCTTTGCAACCGTAGACAAACACAATTGTAAAAGCTCAGAGAATCCTCTTTCCATTTATCCATGATAGACCCAACTTTTTAAGATCTAATAGCATGCAGCTATGTGCATTAAATATATCAAAATGAGGATATATTCCTTGAGTGAGAATCATCTAGAAGGATCTCTTAAGATGGTGCCATAGCAACTTAAAATAAAAACAAAAACCTCTTTCTGGCAGGAATCTGGCTCCTTTTTTCTTCCCACAGTTATCTCTGGGCCGCCTATCTTTTCCCCTTGAGAGGTGGAGTTGCTGTTTCCAAAACTAGGGTCAGAATTTTCAAGCATGAGATTCCTGAAACTCTACATAGGCATCTCTTACATGACCTGATTTGAGAATTCCTAAAGAATTAAAACTTTTCTTTATATAATGTCTAAAAGCATGACAGAATGGAGTAGACAAATATTGCCTTCCATTATGTCTGGACTACCTGTTAAGCCTCCGTTGAGCAGATACGATACTTCTCTACCATAACCATTCTACCTTTTGAATATAGTAGGATAGTATGAGAAGATACTAGATACTTTTCATGACTTTTATTTTAAATTACCAATTGGAAATTTTCATTCTGAGCCTTCTGAAAATAAGAAATGACTTCCATTTAAATGAGACAGAAAACTTTTGAATACATACCCAGACCAGTAGTTGCCTTAGGAGTTTCAGAAATCAAGATGCTGATATTCTGTTTTAGGCTATTGAAACAAAATGTTTCAAGGGTCCCAAATTAGTTTATCATTATTTTATAGAAAAATAATAAAAGTAACAGTATGTAATTGATTTTACTTCTATGTCCTACAAAAAGTAACTTACTTTCTGTTCACACATTTACAGATAAAATTAGTGTCATCGTCAGAATTAATACACAAATTTAACACAAAAACAAATGAATAGTTTTTGCCAGGCTATTGAGTATTTTCTATGGATGGGAAGCTATTACCACCCTGTCTTTTGTATAAAATGCCTTTGTCTTGTGGATCACTCAGCAAAAGACTCAGTCACCTTTATTTTCTTTTTATTACTTTTTTGAGAGATTTTTGCTATACGGCACGTGCACTTGACAGAGAGACAGATAGCAAGAAATCAACCCCCTGGGGGAGATGGTCATGCTGCAATCCCTTTTCCATTCTCCTCTCAGGATTTTGAGCATGCACACACGTTACCCAAGGTGAGTTTTAAGTCACTAAATCCAGGATTTGAACCCCAGTCCACTATATGGTAGTCCCAGCGATGAAACCATTATGCCATCTGCTGGTCCAGTCACCTTTATTATGGTCTTGTTTTCAGATGTTTGTTTTTCTTATGCTTGATTGAAAGTAGCTGGGCTTTTCTTTCTCTATTAGAATTCACTTCAGTTTAAATATTGAGCATACACTGAATTTCCTCATACCCCATTATTTATGATAAGGAATAATTTCAATTATGGTAAATATTTCAAAAATTATTTCTCTGACTTTTTAAAAGGCCTTAGCTAAGTGTAGTAGAATTCTTGTACCAAATTGTTAGTGTAAAATGTAGATAAAAGTGGCATTAAACAAAGAGAAGTAGAAGAAATGAAGATATATTGGAAGATGGAACAGACTTGACTAATAGAAGATTGAATGTGGGGTGG